TTGCTTTTCTATTGACCTTGAAATAAACACATCCTGTTAATTCAGCCTCCAACGGTGGAAAGAGCAGCACAACAGGAGAAAATGATGCAGCAAGACAAAATGTCACTTTGGTGCTCAATAGGAACCCATGTTCAAATATTTTCGGGGCTGATCAGTCAATTGATCATTTTCAAATTTGATCAGCAGGGGAAATTAAATGTACAACGATAACGATTTTTCATTCATTGAATAATGAAAAATTTGTATGAAACCTACATTCTCCAACCAGCAGTCACTTAAAAGCATAAAGGGAGGAAGTCCAACTTGACAAAGCGTTTCCTGCAGCACGGTGGGATTGGAGAGCTCTTTTTTTCCTTCTTCTAAGATGAGGGTAATATGATACAACAGGATTTTGCCTGTCAAGAATGACACCAACATTTCATACTATCTATTTTCAGCCTGAGGTCACGGCTGAAGGTCACTGTCTCAATAAAAAAAGCCTGAGTGAAGGAAGCAAAAGTGATGTATATCTGAGACGGCGTGAGTCTCAATATGGCTCATAACTTTAGTTAGTGCAAAATTATAACAACTATGCACAAATACATATAGTGACATTTCTGAACCATAGTTCAGTGGGCTGAAGTAGTTGGCAAAATTAAACACAGTTATCCAGAAGGGCCACCTGCATACGTGCACTAAATAAGTATGTAATTAACATTTGCTCATTGAATCACCCGTACAGTAGAAACGTTGTCGGTGTTATGTGACCTGAAACATCTGTGCGATAAAGATACAACGTGATGAACACAACGACACATCCACTTTCATCCACTCTTATTTGTCTGTAACACACAAGCATCGCTTGTACATGTTCGCACTTCAACATCACAATGGATTTATAGATACCAATTTCCATCTTGGTATCCGCGGGGGACTGCTCTACTTAAGTAAGAGTCTTAATCTGAGAAATGACCATTTGTTCACTGGTGAGATTCTGCCAGCTCTTTGCCTCTCTGAAAAAACAACTAAGAGGATTGTCTTCCTGCCGGAGCCCAAAGGAGGACCCGTCAGGAAAACACTTTAAAGTTCATATCCTAAATCCACTTTGGTCTGTCGACTCACAAGAAATGCCCGTGCACAAGAGGACACTTTTGAAGTTTCACCTGGTGTGAAAGTTTGGATAGTTTCATGAAGAGACGTAACGTTCCCACATAGCTGGGCTTAAATTGTTTTTTAGTATTCGAGGAACTGTTGCATGCTGTGCGGATTGAGCCTTACATTTACGCAGAAATATCTCCTGTGTTAAAACCATTTACAATCTACAAGGGCAAAGGTTTTGGAGCAAATCGGGCACATTTTTTCTTTAATCTTTTTTGGCAATGATGGTTTTTAACTCAGCAGTGGAGGTATGGATTTGCTGCGTCAGCAGAAAAAGAAAGCCTCATTAAACAGCCCAAAGATAAGGGCGTGCAGGGACCCTGAACTTATGTTTCATCCCCTATTTAAATGCCCTGCTTCAAAAGTCCCCAAACACCCCCCGGGTAATTAACTCATTCCGTCCTGAAATAGACAGCTGGTTAAATAAATGCAAGCACAAGATAAAAACTTAACAAGCAGCAGGAGAATGGGAAGATAAACACTATGAAATATTGATGGGGTCATCACAACAGACGAGGAAGTGAAGTTGAGACCTTTTTTTGTGCGAGTTCTACATATCACTTCTCCTTCCTGGACTTCCACAGCATTGAAAGTCCACTCAACAATGTGAACTGTGTCCACAACAGGACACTATTGTACCTCAGTGGGGTCATTTTCCCCTCGGGGAGCGATAGAATTGCACGTATGCTCAGTGAGGGACAGCGAGAGTAAAACTAACTTTCCACAGCTCCAACCAAGTGACACATCCATTGAGGTTCATTTTAGCTGGAACCTCCTCTGTTAAAACATGAAAAGGAAATGTTTCTTAGTATTACTGTGCATAATTGTACATTAAGCATCGTTTTGTGTCTTTTACTGACTTTGTTTTGCCGTCAAACTAACCGGGCTTAAATTGACTGCATTACACATATTCACCTCAACACACAGTCCTTATCTCATCCTCGCCCGAATATCTTCAGACAACAAAAAGATTTTAAAAGATGATTTCCAAATTGGGTCACTTGCTTGGAGATTTACCAGAAGTATGACAGCCAGAGACGCTCTGCTTCAATCTGTGTCAGATGGGGCCAGACCTCGTCCGATAGTTCTGAGAAGTTATCCATTGTGACATTTTTGACTTATTGATCTGTTTATGTCTGTATATTGAAAGTAGTGTAAGCGATCATACATCCTTTCTTTGTTTGAGTTGAGCTCCTTACACTCTGGCACAGAAAAAGAAACATAACATCAGCCATTGATGAGATAGTTCAGGTCTGCAGGCGGGCCTACTACGAGGTGTAAATAAATCTGAGTGCCGCCCCGGGGGCCAAGTCCCAACAATCCCTCTTTTGTCCTCCACCTTAGCCAAACTCCACCAGCAACACAAAACCAAGTCCACAGACTGTTGTCACGGCAGCACCGTGTGCACTTCGGTCCTGCTCGTCTTTCTCGCCGTGCGCTTAAGCTATAAGAGACATGGGATGGATCATTTTGAAGAGCATGCTTGATTTATGCTAAAATATTTAACAGTCAGGAGAGTCCAGTATCAAGACAAAAGAATTCTACGCGCCTTTTATAAAAAAGGGGGATTTTCCCCCTGCAGCAGAAAACAAACTCCCCTAAACTGAATGCTAATGGGGGACGTCCCTGTAGTAATAATAGGAAATATGCTGAGTTGAAGTAGGACAGTTCGAGTTGGCCAAAACCGTTTTGCAATTTTTTTTATTTGACGTAAGGAAGTTCTGCCTTACGTGTTTCTCGGGTGCCAGCTAACATCAATAACCGAAGCATTTTTTGCATCAAAGCTGTTTCCAAAAGAAAATGCTTTTAAACCTTAAATCCCAAACTGATTTTTAAGAACAAGTAACAAACTCGGCCTGTGTTCCCACTCTCACAGCACAGACAGCTGAGTGCCGCTAGTTTAGCCAGGTTTAAGACAAGATTAACACAAGAGACAATTCCCCTAGTTCCTGCGTAGACACACGGGACACCTGGCATCATCCGGAGCTGTAAGTCGGAACCGGTTTCTTTACAATAACCTCTTTTCCATGCCCCAACACATTTTTTGCTTTCTTCTCTGCACCATGCAAGCGTAGAAAGATGTCAACTATACGATGAAACGTGCAGCAGGACGGTCTTGGTGCGAAAACAACCCGAGAAATAGAGCAAAAAAACGCACCAGATTAGGAGCAAACCAGGATCCTTTCACCAGGCCGACTGATAAACAGTTAGTCAACGGATTTTAAGTCAACATTTAGGCTACCAAATATCACACAAAAAAAGCAAGTGAACGGGAGAAACACAAACTGCCTTTATTCTACACACAATAGGCTGTAAATTGTCAAATCTGTTAATTGAAACAGTTTTACGTGTTCACTTAAAACCAACATTTTAAAGACACCAGGACCGCAGAGAGCCTTCACATCTTCCGCCACAAACTAAAGACACACCTCTTCAGACTCTACCTCGACTAAAGACTAACAAATTGTAGCACTTAAATTGTACTTATAACGCCACTCATCTATAGCAAATTGTAAATTAGCTTATTTGAGGAAATTGCACTTTCTTGTTTCTTGTGAGTTTGTACCCTATGGTTGAATGCACTTATTGTACGTCGCTTTGGATAAAAGCGACAGCTAAATGACATGTAATGTAACGTAACTTTGGCTGCCAGGACCTATTTCGAAGTGGCCATTTGAATGCATCGACCTCTTATTTGTTTGGCTCAACCATTTGCGGCAGCGGTTTTATCGTAGTTTTTACACTTATCGTAGCGAGTAGAACGCATGTGTAACAGTGTGCTGCATATTGGCATCTGCTGAGGAAAGACCTCTTATTAGCAACTATCAATCAGAGACTGCAGCTATGAGGACATTAAACCTTCCCCTGCAGCCCCTCTGTCTGGAACAAATGGGGCAAACTAAAAGGGCCGGGACCTTAAACAAGCCACAGTGGGAGGAGTCATTGCAAATCACAATAGGCCAACCAGAATTTGTCCCCACTTTGTTGTACAGTAGGCTTTCTGTCTGTGGTTGTTACCATGACTTATCCGGTCGCGTTCAGCAGGATTTGCTGGTTGTACTTGTGTCCTCGTTTCTCTCCCAGTAACCATCTCATGGACGCATGCAGACCACCGGCGACCGGGACCCTTGCAAACATTTACGGCGTTCAATAGACCGCAGATGAAAAATGCAAATGCGATGCAGGTATTCCTCAAGTCAGCCAGTTAAACACGAGACACGTGGCGGCGTGGCGCCTGAATCCTGCACGTTTTCAGTCTGTGAAGGACGTGTGAAAATCTGTGACTTTGTAAATCCTGTCCTTTCTACTTCAATAATGCAATGATGCCATACATCTCTGTCACCACATGGTCACACCCCTCTCCTGCAACCCTTACAGTATCACACACACACACACACACACACACACACACACACTGAGGCTGTACACCTATCTAATGGAGGGAGTAGAGGTCCTGCATGGAGGATGTGAGGAGAATTTTAATAACCTTCTTCCTGTCCGGGCACTGCCACTTTCCATTAACAATGCAGGCGGGGATAATTGCTCTCCCTGCTCAGATGGGACCCCCCCTGTGTGTTAATCCATATGCTGATGTGTCTCTCAGTCATTTGCCACGCAGCCTGCACGATGCAGACATGTGCTTCTAGGTGCAATATTGTGTTAACAGCACAGCCTTCGAAGTTCGAACTTAATCGTTATTAAAACGTGTCAGAGCTGCACAGTGACGGGAAGGAAATGAATTGAATAGAAAAAGCATTCCACACACACACAGACACACACACACACACACACGGCTCACTGCAACGAAACAAGCTGCTTATGGGAGCAAACGTTTCACGGCCAAACAACGAAACAACGCTCACTTGATGAAGTAGCTGGCTCCTTCGTCCGTGAAGCCCTCTTCCCATCCTCTTGGCAAATCTATAACACGAACAAAACAACAACAACAACAAAACACACTGAGCGACCCGCCAGACTGAGAACACGTTGCAGCAACGAAACAAAAAAAGGAAAAAGTGTCCTTGGTGTCCAACGTGGGGGGTCGTTCTGCCGCGTACCTGAGCGTATCATGTGGCCCGAGTTAACCGGTTCGCCCGTGTGTGGATGAAGCCAAGTGGTGCTATGACTTTTATCACTGCAAGAGAGAGAGAGAGAGAGACACCTGTTACCGCGCGGGAACCGAGGCACCGGCGCGCGGTAACGACGCCTCGCGAGCTGCCGGCCGCTGCGCGCTCCAAGCCGCTCACTTGATAAAGAAGACGCGGCCGTCCCCGCAAACTCCGTACGACCAGTGGTCCGGGAGGGTGTCCCGTCCGAGAGGGGCCGCCATGATCTCTCCTCTCAGGCTCGGCTCGGCTCCCCCCTCCCTCCCTCGCTCTCCCTCCCTCCCTCCCGCAGACTTTTCCAGGGAGCCGCGAAGAACCACCTCCAGGGCTGCTTGGTTGTTTGTTTGTTCTTAAAGGGGAAAGAAATACCAAACTCCACAAAATAGACGTCGTCTCCACGACTCGGTTTATTCCAATTAAGACAATTGGTCCACCGAGCCCAAAGCAGCGTGTACCCCCCCCCGGAGGTACCAGAGGGGCAGCGGGGCAAAGCTGCAACTGGGACATTTCAGCACGATGAGTTTTGCCAGTTAAAGTATTACAAGAATACCTCAAAACAAAGGTTTAACTGTATGTGTATGCTCTGCATCTATAGTGTTTTAGTGAGAAAGGCTTAGAATATGGGCATGATAGATTACATTACAGGTCATTCATCTGATACAGAGCATAAACGTAGGCCTTGGCTGATAAGTGCAGATTTAATACAAAAATAAAAGTTAGTCTATACCATATAAAAATAAACCCTGCATGGTTACTGTAGTGCCGCATTAATACAATAATGAAAATGGACTGTGTGTGTGTGCGCGTTAGTGTACACTGACATGGAGGACCATGCCTGCATGACTGAATTAATGTGTGTGCACTCAAAGAAGCTTTAGCTAAAGTTTGTCAGCTTCACATCACCTTCACTGCAGTCACGCTTTGAGGACAGAAAGCCTGCCTGACCATGACACATTACAATAATGCTTACGCTGCATCAAACAGACCTGCCCCACTTGCCAATGATGCCCATAAATTTCACTTGTGTTGTGTGAGGCCGGGCAATGTTCAAAGTCACAGTAGTGTTGGCAAAGGAGTAACGTTGCTGGTCATCAAGACACAAGCTGCAAGGTTTCACTTATACAACCGCATTGTCGTAATATGATGCAACATAACAGGCTTAGACTCTGGAAAAGAAACATCTATCGCGATGAACTTGTCAAAACTGTCCAACAGAAAGACCAAATGTTTCTTGTGAGGTGTAGACGACGGTAATCTTGTTGTGCCCTTTGTGAAAGGAAATGACACCATATGGGGTTCAAGTTAATGAGCAGAGAGCATCTGTCAACGTTCTGAATATTGGATCTGAGGATTCCTTTTGGGGATGCTTGGTTGAGACATTCTCCTGTGGTTTAAGCCATTGTTCTTCAAAGACAACCAGAGATAAAACAATATCTCTTAAATAAATAATAGTGCAGCTTGTCTGTAGAGAACTATTCACTGTAAACCTCAAGTTATATCTGCCTGAGAGAAAAGAACAAAATAATTTACCCCCCTATAATATGGTTCTTACCTTAAATAAAGGGCTCTCTGGTCGTGGGACACATGATAAGAAACGTGTAAAAACACAAATGCTCATGCTTACATCCGAGCCACAGGTTGACGCTAAAAGGTTTCATGATATGATCAAACTTTACACTACATCTAATCCCAAACCCAGAAGACACATATGCCCTGCATCAACTATATTGTCAGTATGCCAATGAGTGTTAAATCACAAAGGAAACCATTATGTATGTTGTGGTTTTTTCTCCTTTTAATTTTACATTAACTGTATTTTGTTCTCACGTTTAAATGTGTTAATCATAAAAATGCTTTACTATGAACAGCACCACCCAATCTGGTGAATAAGATCTGAAAAAGAAACTATGATGCATTTTCATTAATCAGTGTTCGGAGTTGTAAAGCCAGGCAGTGGAAGATCGGCAACAAGTATAAACGTCCGCATTAATCAATAATACAATTGTCGTATTGATCAATGCTGTTCTGATGGAACTTTGATTCTTCGACCAGTTTGCAAAATGAAGCAAAGTTGCCGCATCATCAACCATACTGCAGTGCAATCATCCGCTATCCCCACTCAATCGCTGGTATTTGACCTTGCTATGATTCATCATCATCATCATCATCCCAACGACACACAGACACACACACACGTATACATATATACTAATTCATACATAAATGCACATTTGATGCGCAGTCCAGTGAAGCTCTGCAGCACGGTCTCTGCTGCTGCTGATTGCGGCTTCTCGGCTGCCAGAGGCTCACAATGCAGCAAGGTGACTCAATGTTATTGTCTTCTCCTCTGAGAGCCTCCTCCCGCTGAATCACAGATTACTAAAAGGTGCTGAGCAGAAAATGTGGTAAAGAATATCTTGTTCTTTTCTGACTTTTAGCGCTTCAGCTCAGCTCGGAGTCACACTATGTGCCAGAAGCCCACATGAGAAATCAATAACATTTTTTCATGGTCCCTTGAGCTAGGCTAGATAAGCAGTATAAATAAGTCTTTACAGGTGAATCAAAGTGCCTGAATTATTAACTACACATTGTGTCAGTAATAAATAGTTGGTAATACTGAGATTTCCTTTTTGGCACATTTAATTATTGTGGATTAAAAAGAAGTTCTGATCTTTACCATCTGTTTTCAATGTTAGTTATGATCCCAACTATTAATCATGTTCCTGTACATTGTACTCTTAAATAGTCTCAGAGGGTTAATAGTAGCAGATAAAGTTCCAGTGCAAAGTGTATAGAAGAGGGAAAGTTTAATATAGAGTCAATAAACATAACTACAGCTGTTGCAAGGCCACCAAGGACCTCAGCTTGTAGTTCAGAGTAACCACACTCCTTATCTGCCATCACCTTTGATAAGGTAAGGCGTCATGAACTTAAAGTGGCTGGGATATTGCTGGAACAATGGAACTCAGATAATACAGAGCAACAGCGTCCTCTCTTGGAGAGACAGGGGTCACATGTAGGTTTAATATTGTATATTTTTTGTCAAGCAGGGACCCAGACACCGGTGTATCCGGACCCTGCAACCTATAACAAATAGAACAGTGAGAAATATTAAAGAGGATAGAGGATTTCAGGTTTATCCGAGCCTATTACGGCACTCGTCTAATGGTCCAAGAAAAGCAGAAACCAATTACATGCATGCACATTTATTACTAGAGCACAATCATGCCACTTAAATAACAAATATCTGTAAACAGACGAGAGGGCCCTTTATGAGTGGACCAGCAGTCAGAATAATACTGGAGTCGGTATTTCATATTCATATTCTTTATTCTCTTAAATATTTATTCTTTGAAGGGGCAGTTGAGAACAAGTACGTCTCATTTGTTCAGACACTGTTGCGATTATTAAAAGCTGTGATGTAATTTAAGACAAAAGGCACAAACATTCTGAAACGGACCCACTCAGATCCGAAGTTAAGGCACAGAAAAGTAAACAAACCCAATGAATGAGAATCATAACACACGATTCCAGCGGTCAACGATGATATTAACAGAGAGGGGTAGTGCTGAAACCTGTGTATTAACCACAGATAAAGAAAAAATACCACAACGAAAGACTGGTCATGAAAAAGACACAATTCATCATGCAGCATCACTGGCTGCATCTTTCACTTTGACCCGAAGTAACCGCCCACCTGCTATTCCGTCATACGCCGGTTCTCGCCACGTACGATGCAGTGCAGCCTAACTTGTTTGACGGACAGCTGCGCTGACCACTGCGGTTACTGCTGCCACGCGCGCAGACAACCTAACGCTGCCTAGCGCGCTCGGTAACTACCAACGGATCTCCCGGCTGAGAGGAAGCAACGAGAGGAAACCAGAGTAGATGATGACCGGGATCCATAATAAAGTGAGTATACCGGTAGCGTGTATTCACGGTGCTATTTCAGTGACGCTTTTAACAAGACGTAAAGTCCCGTGAACAGCGGCCGCGCTGCTTTGACCGAGGAGCATACACGAATAACGTTAACTTCGGTGCCTGAGACTCATTAGCCGAATCTGTCAGTGGTAGCTAGTGCTAAAGCTAACACCAACAGCCTCCTATGGTTGTTAGCAACAAGCCAATAACGTGCAACATGAGCAGGCTACAGCAGCGGTTTGGATACGGGTCGATGGGGAAGCTGGCTATAACAACGACCCGTGTGTACCCCGGGGACACATTTCGCGTGTATCCTCACACACAGCATGATCTTAAACAGTAGTGTCACGTCACTTCTTGCCTTATTGTCCATTTTTCCAACCCCCAGATGTGTTGGAGCCGGGCCCTTCACGCTGGCTGGCTGCTGCTGCTGGTCCAGTTCCTTTGCCTCGAGGCGGTGCCCATAAGCATGGATAAGACTAAAGTCCTCGAGCCAGAGAAGAAAACAGAAGAGGCCCCAGCTAGTGTGGTAAGAAGATACAAGACGTAAAGTTATACGTTACACGTCATAATTCCAATTATTTAGTGTTTTGGAATCAGGAAATCAGGAGGAATCAGGAAACATTTATTTGCCAAAATATGTCAAACATACAAGGAATTTGTCTTGGCGGTTAGTGCGCGACAGTAGACCGACAAGACAACAGTGCACAAGTAATAAAATAATAAATAATTTTGACCATCGTTGGTAAAACGTCGGGTTATAAAACCTAGATATTGCCAATGTTAAATATGACATACTAACTCAACAGAGCGGTCTTACGGTGGGAACGAATACATGAGTTTTATAGGTTAATTCGATTTTTTTTACAGCAAAATAGCTGCAGCATATGGTAATTTACAAAAAGCAGTAGTACAGGTTATAGAGATGAATTGCAGCTGGTTTCTATACATCAAACATCTGGCAGAGGATCTGTTTGTTAGGCAGCAGACATGTATCCTTCAGTACAACAGACCTCTCAAAGACGTGTTGATGAAAAAACATAATTAACAAAACTAAAGTGACCACTGTAGGATTACTTAAATGTAATAAACTACAGATTACACACCAAGTAACATTTGATTTCCTCCATTTTACAGGACACTGGACTCCACTACGACCGTTACCTCAGAGAAGTCATCGATTTTCTAGAGAAAGATCAGCATTTCAGAGAAAAGCTCCACAATACAGACATGGAAGACATCAAGGTACCCTACGGGACGTTTATTACATGTACCATTATAACCCCCATGTGTTGAAACCCACTCCTTCATGTGTAATTCAGCTGGGTAAGCTGGCCAAAGAACTGGACTTTGTCAGCCACCACGTCAGAACAAAGTTGGATGAGTTGAAGAGGCAGGAGGTAAACAGACTCCGTACTTTGATTAAGGCCAAGCAAGACCTTGAAGGAGGGAATGGTATGTTGTGCAAATGGTTGTTTTCATTTTGAAGTAAGATTCTACAAATGAAATAATTAATACTTAAATAACCTCATTGATTGCTTCCTGAATAGATATAGCAGTTGACCACCAGGCTCTGCTGAAGCAGTTCGAGTACCTGAACCACATGAACCCGCATACATTTGAAGTGGATGACCTGGACCGGCTCATTAAATCGGTAGGTGCCACATTTTATTGAGGACACGATCACCCAGTTTCACTTATTTGAACTGCCGCTTACCTTATTAAGGGAAGAAATTGGGCAGATGGATTGTACACTTTACAAAAATGTCTAGGCACGGTAGAGAAATGGTAAAACGGGGCAGCACACAACTACTATATTCAAGTCACTGGTAACAGCCGAATAATGGCGATGTCTTACGGGGATTGTACACAGCTTAACATTCTCAACATCCAGAAAATAGAGGCAGGCAGTTATAGAAGTATAGAACGGTGTCAGCAGCAGTGTCATTTAAAACTGATCTAACCCTCTGCAACTTCTTTTCATGAATAATAAACTTGTTGTTAACCCCAATTGAATCAAAAGACAAATCAATGGAGCTTTAGAGTGGTAAATGTATTAAGAATGCTCTATAAACAATACTTTCACAGGCAGTTTAAGAAATCAACTGTTCAGTTTCCTGATGGGTTAACATCATGAAAAAATGGAAATGTAAAACTTTTTTCAGAACTTATTATATTATAACGGTATTATATATTAAACTCTATGAATCAAGTAAGATAAATAACCTTTGTCATTTCCACCCATATGTATCAAGGCCACTAAAGATCTGGAAAACTATGACAAAGAGAGACACGAGGAGTTCAAGAAGTATGAAATGACCAAAGAGCATGACAGACAGGAACACCTAAAAACACTGGATGAGGACGAAAGGAAAAAAGAGGAGGAGCACTATGAGGAGATGAAGAAGAAGCATGCGGACCATCCTAAAGTCAACCACCCAGTAAGTTTGATCCGAGTGCGTCAAAACATCTCTCTCTCTCTCACTCACACACAGTTTCAGCCAAAGCATCTTTTTCAATTTTCTTTTTACAGTTTAAGTCCAGCTTGGAGTGCTAACTTTACACGGGGGGTTTGGAATTTGTAGTGCATGTCCATCACTGATGTGTGAGCCGTCAACAGAATTTTGAAATGCAATGATTTGTGTCGGTTGTGTTTGAAATGGGATTTTGCCTCCATGTCGCAGGGTAGCCAAAATCAACTGAAGGAGGTGTGGGAGGAAGGGGACGGCTTGGACCCTGAAGATTTTGACCCAAAGACCTTTTTCAATCTGCATGGTAAGACATGATCTGTACTGGGAGGATGATTTCCATTTAGAGCTACATACTCTGCGTTGTATTATATGGCCTTTGTGCTTTCTTTCTTGATCATGAAGATTCAAATGGAGATGGCTTTTTTGATGAACAGGAATTGGAGGCATTATTCACCAAAGAGGTAAAGCCATGAAGTCAGAAATTGTCAAATGTTTCAGTGAATGATCTTAGCACCCACTGACCGGTCTGTGATTTATTCGTTTTAGCTGGAAAAAATCTATGACCCAACTAATGAGGAGGATGATATGGTGGAGATGGAGGAAGAGCGGTTACGCATGAGAGAGCATGTTATGAATGAGGTACAGCAAGTTGCAAAAAGTTAGTTTCTTGCATACGTATTTAAATAGATTGCCTTATCCCCTATTTATTGTGTCAATAAATCCTAGCGTATGCTATTTATTTCTTAGGTGGATTCTAACAAAGACAGACTAGTTTCTTTGGAAGAGTTTCTTGTTGCTACAAAGAAAAAGGAGTTCTTGGAACCAGACAGCTGGGAGGTGAGACACAATAAATGCCATTGTGGAATGATAACAGTAATGTAATCTTGAAACCATTTTGTTGAAAGAAGCAGGACTGAAATAAATTGCGTCAACTCTGTACTCATCAGACCCTGGAGCAGAACCAAGCTTACACAGACGAGGAGATGAAGGAATTTGAGGATCATCTTGTGCAGCAGGAACAGGACCTCTACCAGAAAGCTGATGACCTCCAGAAACAGAGAGATGAGCTGGAGAGACAGCAGGAGCAGCTTAATGCGCAAAAAGTAGAGCTGCAACAGGTAAGGACACGCATTTGACTTAAAACAGAAAAAAGTATTACCTCTGTAGAGGTTTCACCTGAACAAGACGTAGCATTTGTAGGTGGATTCTCAATGTGACGATTCCCCTGATTTCTCTCAGTACTCTCCAAATAGAAGATAACCATGAATTAAACTCATTACAGGCCGTTGAGCATATGGAAAAGCTGAAATCCCAGAAAGTAGAACCCCCTCCAGAGATTCACGGTGAGTTTCCATCACGTCCTTTTACATAGATTTTAGAACTTGCCGTTTGACCTCTGGGAATGTAAAACCTCTTATTTGTTACAATTGAAGGAAATGCCGTCCCAGAGATGCACGAGGTGGACAACCAGTTGCATCATGAACAAGGGGCCCACCAAGTGCAGGAGCAAGAACCTGAACCCCAAGTTCAACAACATACACCTCAGGAACACCATGAACATCAAGACCCGGCCCAGCAAGGTCTCCCCCAGACACACCAGGATCTGCCACCAGGCCACCAGGATGCTGCACATGACCAGCCTAACCTGCCATAACTGTGCGGTCAGAACTTGAACCTCCACAACCAGACTGCAGCAGCCACTCCAGCGGGCGGAGTGGCTCCGCATTAGGCCTCGTAAAACCAGCAAGACTTTGGAGGTCACTCAAAGATTAGTAAGAACGGCACAAAAGAAATCCCCCCTGAATGATACCAGTTTGATAATAGCTGTAAGGCTTTGGATTACATAACGGAATTGAGATAAAATTAGTCAAATTAACAACCAAGGATGTGCATCTTTTTGCTTTACTTGTTTTTTGCTGTTGAAAGTACAGTAACAAACAATAACAATGCTACTGATTCCACAAGTTAGATATGTACAGTGCAGCTGTTAAATACGATAAGGTGTAAAAAGTTATTTAAATTAGTGACTGATGGCAAACAGTGTTTCACTCGGCTCAGAGATTTTAGAAAATGAGTGCAATAGACATTTAAAAAAAAAAACCAACACATCTATTATAGCATTCAAGAACCCATAAGTGAACCCCGACTGCTCAGAGATCTACCAGCATGTTTGATTCGCTCTTCTTGTGGAATCTGGTTGCTGTTACCTGTTAACTGTTTGCCTACCATGTTATGTGTATAGTCCAATTTTCTCTCAACCGCAGAAAATAAGTCTTCTTCCTAAAATGACATCTGGTACAGTCATACAGAAACGGATTATTTTCTGGCCACAACACAGCTGAACTCTTTGAGGTCAAAATACATAAAGGTGCTAGGTTCTTTAAATAAAGATGGGTGTGGAACCACTCTCCACGTTTCTCCTACTCCATTACGCCACGGTTTTGCTTTATAGTAGCATTTAAGATCTGGTTTGTGTTTATAGATGAGTGGATAGTGATTTCCAATTCAATTTTAAACGCTGAATTTTTAAAGTGCTGGATTTGGTGAACTAGTTCATTTCTAAAGATATGAGAAAAAGTGCAACGCACTGATTAGGTGAGTGTGGGAGATTGGCATCGAATATATTACCACTTCTTTTTTTATTGTCCAATAAGGTCAATAGTCCAAAACTCATTTGACATACGTGGCGCGGCATATTTTCCTCACAAAGGACCAGTTTGGTGTAATTGCTCTGCTATCCAAGTGTTTTTCATGTAATGTTGGGGTTTCTTCTAACTGGCACAATGTTGCCATAGCGATCACGTTTACCTATTGGCCACTTTTTACTGAAGAAAGCTTCATTTGCATCCAATGAAATAAGTGGTTACTTTCTTTAAAATCCAGATATGGAAAACACGTTTTATCTTGTTTTCTGTGTAAGTTGTTTACTGTGCCCAAAGTGTTCCTTATGGGTGATCCAATACTGTGTCATCATTTGCACCAAATACAGATTGTGTTATCTGACCGCTTGCTGCTGGATAAAATAAGTCATTTTGGCAATACCGTATACCACCCCTGTTCAAGATAATAAAACATGTATCACCGTTCAGTCTGTGGAATAATTGTATCACTTAAGAAACAAGATCACTATTTTACTCTAACTGTAAAACAGTAAAGTATGAATAATCCAAATTACATGAAAAATATAAAGCAATATTTGTTGAAGTAGAAATCCATCGTATAATTTGATTCAAAGCAGTTAGTTTCTATATTACGTACAAGCTTCACATGGCTGTTGTATCGCAAAGCCACATCTTTGACCGAACACAACGTTGTTATTTCATCTACAAACAATGAAGGCCATCAGAGTGATGAGAAATACTATTATTACTCACAGGGACTTCAGTTTAAAGGTCTACACCGACCGATGCTCCAATCATCACGAGGCAGAAGAGGGACAAGCAGGACGCGTCGCCCCAATGCACCGAATCCACCAGTTAAGAGCATGCAGAACTTATGAGCTGGAAGGTAGTATCATTAAACAGAAGGTAATAGAACACAACTTTATTGAAACAGTCTTAACCAATAACATTGGCGTACAAAGAGGCGACAGAGGGGTGAAAAAAAAGCCATTATGAAAATTGCAAGATTAAAAAAAAAAGGGTTTGACAGCACAGGGCAAAAGGAAATTATGGTCATGGAATCAGATCGACAGTGACAGGGTATTTTTTGCATTTATTTTGTACAAAAAATAAATTAATGAAATCTTTCAAGTTTACAGGAATATCTATGTTGTTTTATATAACACTCATTTGCTGATAATCCTACATGTGAAGGAGTTCAGCCTTTTGTGTTAGAACGTTAAGAGGATCTAGACAGACCAAAGCAGGCTGACTGATACGTGGGCCAATCGTTGAAAGAAGAAAAAGAAAAAGAAGTTTACCAATGAGAAACAAAACATTGTTTTAAAAGTGAGCTGGGGAAAACATTCAAAAATCCTGAATGTTAAACGTGGCGCAACTTGACTGTCTTTAGGACCTCATTGCTTGAGCATTTCCTCTTGACAAACTTCGAGGTCCTTGGGCAGGGCCCCGCTTGTAGTTTTGCTGATATCCCTCCTTAAAGAAACAACGGGGAGATTCAATAAACTCAGAAATATAACAATACACCGAACAATATTATACAAAACATTTATTATTATTATTACGAAAGGACTCCTTACCCGTTGGTAGGTGTTATTGGAATAGTCGCGAGAGGTGTTAAATTGGGTTTGACCATAACCACTGCTGGGGGCATTTGAGAAAGGAGGGCGATAACCTTCATAACCCCCTGAAGGAACAATATATATTAGAATTAACAGATGTGTGTGTGTGATTTCATCAGAAAATAGTGAGTTCATAGTTTGATGATTGTACCTCTAAATCCATTGGAGCCCCGATATCCGTTCATCATGCCCCGGCCGCTCCTGGCTGCTCCCCTGGGCACAGCCCTGCTGTTGTAGAATGACTGGCCTGACTGTGCGAGCGCTGCGGCTGGGGGAGACTCTTCATGGCTTCCTGCTGAGGGCATGACGTGGTCTGGGGGCTGGAACCCTCCAACAACTGGCCAGAAAACATTACATAAGTTTATTGAGGCGCTATTGGTGGTTGGTGATGCAGGTTTCTGCAAGCTGAAAAGCCTTTTTTGGTTCATGGCGGATTTCACCTTCAACATTGTAATCAAAGGGAGATCTTGTCCCACAGTACAGGGCACCCTGAAATCCTAACATTATCTTAGACCGTGTGCACCAAACATCTTGCATTTATTTATCCAACATATCAGATGTGTCCAACAAGTATTTCTACACAATCAGTCTGCGTAAATAATTATTTTTAGTGATGCCAAACAATGTTTACAGCCTTTCTATTGCGTGTGTGTCAACTTCTTGGTCTTAAAAGCAGTCAAAGCTTTACCCTCACCTGACTGTAATGTCTCCTGCGGGATGTCCGGCTGGTCTACAGTACTCTCTGACTGGCTGCTGAAGCCCTGCCCATAGCCCCCAGGGAACTGGCCAGGCTGCTTCAGAGGGTCTGCTTGCCCATCAGTGGCCGGTGGTACAGGTGCATTCAGATTGAATACCTGAAGAGGAAAATATACGTTATTTGTATCAGAATTATAATTCCAATAGAACATCAGTGTCCAAACACGTTCACTGTTACATTAAATACAAAAAAGGGACCAGATAAAAAGCGTACCGCTTGCACTGACTGGAAGGGTGCAGCGTTGACATTGATGCCTCCAGTATGGGTAGATTTGGAGACAGGTGGAAAAGCAGAGGACAGGGGACATTGGGTGGGGGACGGCTCAGACGAGAGAGACATTGAGACCTGGGGAGGGGGGAAGCGGGAATTCACAAGGCAAGGAAACAAGGATTGAGGAGAGGTGAGTGGGAGAGAAGGAATTTCTGATTTTCTAACTTTAAGACTCTTTCTATATTGTTTTCATATTCAAAAGATTTCAATAAATCCCAGTGAAACACAGCAAATAAAATCCCCCCCATAATAAAGAAATAACCCGTACTCCCACTCAGGCAAAACAAAGCAACCACTTCCTGTTGTGCTTCCACTCCACTTACTGGTGAGGATTCTGGTGGTCCGGACACTGCACATGTTGGAAGAAGTCTGGACTCCGGGTGGGCTGTTTGGGAGGGAAAAAAAACATAAAAACAAATTACACCCACTGGTGTATAGCGCTTCTAGGATAATAACTACACATCACTGTGACATGTACCTAATCAATAGAACAGGTAGGATAATCTTTTGGGATCAATTCGGTGGCACTCACTTGAAGGGCCGCACATCTGCACAGGCTTCATCGGCTGGGCGGACACGATGGCCGGGTCCAGAGCCTGGCCGTCAAACTCCAACATAGAGTCCTAGGAAAACATACGACAGTAAACATATTTTTGCCACAGCAGCATGAATTTGCCCCACTTAAGGCATTGAGTGGGTGAGAAAATGAAGCCAGATGAGTCAGTATCATCTCTTTTTCTTCATTTTCCTGCAATATATTTTTAATTTATTGGAATTAGTTTCACTGTATCCTATTTTTAACACGGCCCCATTAAAGGCCTAATTTTATTTTTTCTTGTTCTTGATTTTTCCGTTTGTTTGTTTGAGACTTAATGTTTCTGCTGAAACTGGGTGCACACTTTCTGTAACTCACTGCCTGACAGGGACTTCTACGTGAAGGGAGACCCATATTTTACTGGATCAATCAGATTTGGCAGTGAATGATTGACCTTTTCAGCGTCCATCTCTAAGCAGTAGCCATCTGTTGGAGCTTTTTACCTGCATGAAGTTGTACGTCCCTTGCAACTGAGCCATGAGGTCTTGCACAACTTGCTTCCTGACAACTGGGTCGGCTTCAGGTGGGGGAATGCCATGGTTCACAGTAACGGTTGGCTCTGTAGCCAGCTGGGCTGGTGGCTGAAGCTGGTGGGAGCTCGCCATCTATTCAACACGTCACAGGCACATTAAAGCGCGTGCAAATACATGGTGTGGAGAAACGTGCATGGTGGCATTAAGACTTGTGAGGCAGTGTAGTTTTACCTGAGCCTCCACTGTCCACTCCTCCACTTGGTCTTTGTCTGCACTACTGTACATAGTTTCTGGAATGAATTGTCTGTTTACAAACTACAACAAAAGAAAGTACGTAAGACAGTGTAATACAGAAAACAAACAACTTCAAGACTGTGCTCAATAAAAATATTGGTAGATTAACACGTGTTAAGATTTGTTGAAAAATCGATCAGTAGATTTAAACAGATTGAGAATCATACAAAAGAAACAGAAAAAATAGCAACGAATAAACTACAGCATTCATAAATGACAAATGAAAACATCCAATTAGTAGAGTATAGCAAACCCCCCATCGACTAACAAATAAAAAGTTTAGATTTGTGGAATTATCTTTGCAATATTCATAGAAATCTCACCTCTGTGGTTTCCACTTTAATTGGCTCGGTGTATTTTTCGGTAGTTGTTTCTTCTGAAGAGAAAAGGAAAATGTGAAGTCAGTTTCCTTAAATTTGTTTAAAATAATGTGACACACTCGCATCTGCTAAAGTGTTGTTAGTTACCAGGTTCTGATGGCTGCTTCCCAGACGAAGATTCCGCCGCCACAGTCTGCTCCTCTTGTTCCGGTTGCTCCTCTTCCTCCGCACACGTCCCATTCTGATGAGTCGGTGCTCGGTCAAAGTAACCACTGAGCAGCACTTTGTCCAGAGCGTTCTTTAGGGACTTGTCTGAAACAAAGACAGCGGGACAAGTTAAGTTAAAAACAAAAAACGCAAGACACTTTATTTTTGCCTTTTCAAAACAGAAACACATAAAAATCTACTCACACAAAAAAATTAAATAAAAACAAAGGACACTAAAATAACAATACAAAAAAAGAGGTCTAGATGTCTCTGTCCTCTCAATAACGAGATAAGAACATTTCTCAGGATTTATCTTGTACTGTTGTTGATGAATTCAATATCTTCCATTTCGCCCACTTTTCATGACACTGCTCCTCTTAGGTTAACAGCTCAATATCGCTCATTTCAGTCACACTTTTAAACCATGCTTCTTGTGTTGGTGGTTCTATCCTGTGCCATCTCTTTATAATTGCCGTTTTACTAGCTGCTAACAGAATTTTTAACAGATATCAGTCTTCCCTTAGCAAAACATCTGTCATATTACCACAGTAAAGGAACATGCACAATTTAGGTTTATGTCATAGCTAAGACTAGTAGACTAATAGTTGAATGGCCAATCCCAAGAACACTACAATTCCCAGACTGACTGTTGAACAGGTGAAAAACCGCGAGAAAGGTCAAAGGGCGGTGAACACTTACATGTGGTCCCTGCCACGGCCTTATCTCGGCTCCTCGAGTAGTTCCAACAAGTGTGCCGAGGCCTCTTCATATTGGCCAGTCAACCTGCAAGTTACACAACAGTAAATATACAATGAAGTTAAATGCTATTAGACCTGTTTGAACATTCTGGTTACAACGGGAGAATAGTTCCTGTGAGCTGTTACACAACAGGTGCTATTCACCCATTGTTTAGACAACATATTTAAGCATTGATAATTATAACTGTACACAACTTATGCACACTCAAATAAGCACCACCTCATACCTGATGTCGTAGTTCCTATCAGGTCCCACCAGTTTGTACAACTCATCAAGGGACGTGAGGTCAGCGTCAGTGAGCAAAGGGGAACCAGTGGCGTCGGGCCGTTTAAGGTCCTGCCGTACATTGTCGTCTCCCAACTGGTCCAGTAAAAACTGGAGCTCCAAAACCGCCTTCAACCTCCGCTGATCCATCTCCTCCCGCTGCAGCTGCTCCCGTCTAGCCATCTTCTTCACTGCCTTTTGAATCTTAACGAAGTCAGATAAAACGACTTAATAATAATCTCGCAATCCATCTTTGTGCATGTACACAGCCTTTTTTATTAATGCCTATCACTCTCCTGTTCACTCAATGATCTATAATGTGTCAGGCTCCACAGAGGATGTATCTATTCAGGGAATTCTTGTCATGTTGGGTAATTATTATTTGCTACCTTGAGTATTTTCTATGGCTATTTCCGCCACAAAAAAAAAAAAGAAGGGTTAGAAAGTCCAAATTATGACCTAAGAAAGTCGAAATTATGAGATAAAAATTGAAATTATGACTTGGTTGGTGACTACGGTCACACAGAGGTGTCGTTTGTGTTCAACAACGTCTTTCTGACCAGCTATTAAACCAGGAAGTCCGAATCTGTGAATATTAACCAACTTTACCGAAATGTAAACGTTCTACGGACACTTGCACCCACTTACTCCACTCCCACTCTCAAACGGGGAGGACAGGGACGTCAGACTCTTAGCTTAGAGTCTTAATTATCGTTGTTATTTCCGAGTCAAAAATAAATCAAACTTCTAGGGAGATAAAATAACTTCCGGGTGGTATTTATTCCGTAGTTATGATTAGTAACAATTGAAAAGTCCTGAAGAGAGTTCTCTCTTTATTGAACTAGTGTTGCCAATTTCTTAATGACGAAAGACGCTGCAGAATCAGCGGCGGCTTTGCGCATGCGCGCGTTGATTTCAGTCTGGACGTGACGTGTCACTCCTCTGTGCTCTGACTGCAGCTGGACTGCTGCAAGCCGCCAGGTTTCTGCTTCAGTCACGTCAGACACCACAAAAGTCTCCAATAAAACCAGAGTTTGGAAAGTCAATGTACCAAACAACGAAAGGAGCCTGCACACGCGCATATCTTAAGACAAAGTCACCAAACCAAATCATAATTTCCATAATTTTTATCTCATAATTTCGACTTTCTTAAACCAAAATTTCGACTTTCTGACCCTTCTTTTTTTTGTGGCGGAAATGGGCTTCCATACTTTTCACATTCGTAAGCAAGATAACAATGTTTTAAGACTATGGCTTGAGAGGGAATAGAGGGTTCCCTGCTCTGTAAGCACTAGATGTTACTCCATAGGAACATCACACTGATAAAACCTCCATAATGATAGCAGCATGTAGTGATAACAATGTTGACTCAGAACTTTACCTCTTGACCCAATGAAAGGAAGGTCTTCTGCAATTCTCGAGCAAAGTCAAGGTTGTTGGCAATCTCTTGGTACTTGGTCAAGGCATCCTTCAGGTACATCATAGAGAAAAAATAAAAAGATTTGTGAAACATGTTAAAAAAAAAGAAAAAACAACAGGACTGTTTTCTATAACATTTTTTAAAGAATTGTATTGGTTATTATTTGGCATTTATTATTATATTAGGTTAAGAAGATTTCACTGTATGAATTGCAGCAGATTGCAATAAAAATCGTTTTTCTATATAAAAGTATTGCAATTACACTTCCAATTGAAAAATAAAAGAATTAGAGCACTTCAACAATGTATTAGTACTGAAACTTAAATAACCGTTTCAATAAGCGCTTTGTTCGAGTTGCGTCGGTGCGCTCCACTTTCACGCACTGCAGGCGCAGTGGCCATGTTTTTACCGCTCATTCCGAGGCTTCACCAAGAAAAATATGGCACAACAGTAATGGAACCAAGGGTTATAAGTTTCAATACAATTAAAGGAATACTAAATATTATATTATTAAAACCAATAATTCCCTTCTGTTTTATTTATATCAATTTTTCACATCTTACACTTTTTTGTGTTGTGTTTTTTAAGAATTTGAAGTTTTACATGTAATATAATCTATTATTATATTACTAACCCATATGTTTTATAGGTTTTTCCATGTTATTGTTTCAGTATTAGCATCAAGATTCTTGAGGCATGGATTGTATAAATGTCATAACATCGGTACCGCAACATTACATTAAAAAAAAGTTGTAAAGAAACGGTCTTTGACTTATCTTACCAGCTGATCCTGATTAAGTTGTTCTCCATTACGCTTCCTTGTCTGACAGTCATCGAGTTTTGACTGCATGAATATTGGGAAAGACAAAATGTGAAATAGACAGATTAAAGAAAAAAAAATTGCATAACATGAATGGATCACTCTTTCTCCCCCCTACGATGGATGTTTGTTTGTCTGTCAATTACTACCGTTACCTTAAACCCTGAAATAAAACTGTTTCGTGCACACCACTACGGTCTCATGCGTCCGTGCATGTGACGTCAGTGGAGGAAGGGTTTTAATTAGATTAATACGATTATGACGAAAATATACGTGATTGGGAAGTTCTGAACATTTCTTTTCCTTTTGCTGATGTTAAATCTGGCCAACTAGTTTTAGATTCTCCATTGACCTTGAAGGCATCACAAAATGAATGGTTTTCTTCAAGGTAACACTTAATTAGAGAAGGTGGTTCGTATCAGTAAATCAAGTGGGGAAAAACTTTAAAAATATATATATATATATTATTATATTTTCATAATTTATGTAGCATGGTTATGTAGATTAGAAGGCAATTTCTGACAAAGCGGCTATATTTTGCAAGCATAAAAACTGATGTGCAGTTAGCACTGAAGTTAAAACATGTTAGGAGTCCATTTAGTCAGCCGACTTACATACAGTACCAACTTTCTCAATTTACAGTAGACGTCTTATTCAGTGTTCTCCAAAATTTGAAATAGAGATATTTATGTGATATCCTATATACTCTGGAAAAGAGCCCGATGACATCATCTACAACACATTCACAAAGACAAAACACAAATCTCACATAGTGCTTTGAAATGAACAAAAGCAATTTTGACAAAACATTATTTTTTTTAGTAACAACAAATACCTTTTTCTTTTCCATATTGCGAACCTTCTTGTCAATCACAGCAAGAACCTGCTTTATTGACTCAGAATTACTTCCACTTCCCAAGTCTGGAATGGCAGACTGGACAGCATTGTTGCCAACCATCGCTGAAGGCATCTATTGAAACAAAATGTATTATACGCATTAAATTAGACTATTTATTTATTTATATATATATAATCTCACACACACACACACACGCCAAGAACTGCTCTATTTTAGATCAACTATCAGAGGGCATACTAACTAGTTATGCACTGTTGCTCGGAAAGCTGATCTTTAAAAAAATAAAAATGCATTGTTGTACAGATTAATCAATCCTGCAATTATTCAAGGTGCTTCAGCAGGTGGGCCACATTAGGATATCTATACATATAGAACCATAACAATCGTCATTACTTTATGAGCTCTTTGTTATGCGATTACATGGTATCAATACCTCTTATGAATATTTACATTGGAGCTATGTGTGGTTATCTGAGGGCGAAGCTAAAGAAAGCTCAACTAATAACGCTTTCTCAACACCAGAAACGGTTCCAGTTTTTGTAAACATGGCCATTAAATAGCTCTATTGTCTGAATCCACAGCCACCTGCCGATGCGCTGACAATTCACGCGCAATGATCCGACGCCGAGGTTACCCAGAAACCGCTTGAATGTGACCAAACACGTTTTGATTTAGTCAATGGCGAACCTCCGGATACTGACGGCAGCCTCCACACAGAAAACAGGGCCAGGGGGAAGCGCGACCAACGCGAATCAACCCGTCTTTGACTTGGGCAAAGGGGAAGAAAAAACACCCGATAGTGACACAGCATGTAATGTTATATCGAGAAACAGCTAACGTTACTTGGTCAACGCTAGTAGGATGGGGGTATTCATTGAAAGACGCTGAAATACATTGATTTTTTTCCAGAGGAAAGTTAGCACATGTTAAAATGTCGGCCTTCTATTGAAAGTTAAAAACCTGCGCTATCTTGAAGAGACCGGACCAGCCGTTAGCCGCACGCAATCCACGCAAAGTCACGCACTGACAGCTACACTGAAAACTCTCCTTTTGACCTCGTTATTACGCTAATCGCTTGCCGGTGCGATAATAGCGGCGTTTAGCGCGCGGTGACGTTACATCAAATACGTACGATAAGAAAACCCCGGCCCCTTCCTCACGGTCCCATTGTTAGCTCAAAAGCTAGCGTGTCCGTTAACGGGCCGCTAGCTAATGCCGCAAGGAAACCAGACGTCAGTTAAAACTAAATCAATAAAACATGTTAGTCTGGGTTGATGTGGAAGACATGTCGTCGAAATAATGTTCATAACTGCGGAGAACAAAGACCAACTCGGGACGCTATGGCAACTCGTTTTGTGCAGTCGCCTCGACTAAAGATGACAAAAGACGATTTATTTAACAAATAACGTTGCCGGTTAAATAGGAGTTTGTTGGGGATTCCATGAGTCTCATACCTTTATACTCTTTGTCTTCAAAGAGATTTCCTTTGTCGAGTATAACGTTAGCTGTATGAGAGCTGAACGTATTTTTAACTTCGAGTGGTATATTTCCAGAAGGATGCTGCTGAAGCTTACTGACTAGCAGCTGCTGAGCTAACGGCAGGCTAACGGTAGCACCTACGAGGACCCCTGTGCTAACGACTGGATTGCCTGACGGTAAATACACGAGAATAGGAGAAACTATTGTGCTGTCACTTCGTCTACGTCCTCTGCCAGAAATGATTTCAATTTACTAATAGCGTATATAGGTTTTGGTGGGTGGTGTCAACAATCAAAAGCGTTTAAATGTGTGACATTAACATGCTATTAAAAACTTTAATGAATCAAATGAAATCACTGCTGTTGCAATAAAGAGAGTTTAAACGAGTTCAAAAAGAGAGACCCATGGCGTCCAACTCAGGAGAATTTTGACCACAATATGTAACGTTTAATCCCAGAATGAGGGAAATCATATTTTAGAATGAGATAGATTGAGAAATATCAGACGGAAATAAAACTCACACCCGGTGGTAGCGATGTTTGAACACAAGGTGGCGCTGATGCACCACACGCTGAAAGGGGGAAATCGTCCCGTCGACGTGTGGTCATCGTGATGGTGTTTTATAATGTGCAGTAAAGAAATAATTGTGTTTACTCCAAACCTGGGCTGATTTAACCTTACCCCAGTTTTATCTCCACAATGGATGTAGGCTAAAGCATTCAGAACCGTATTTATGTTTTGTATATATTTATTTGCCTCAAATGTTTGAATAAACAACATACACGAGCCTAATTATTATCAAAATATCAGCGTTTCAGAGGTTTTCAATAACCTTTAACACTACATTTTCACACCTTCCTTATGAGTCACGCCGCGGCTGTCTGTCTATACGATGAAGGATATTTCTACAACAAGTGAGGTGGGGTTGAATGGATATCCGCTCTCTCTGATGTGGGGAGCTGAGTAATGGCCATACATCCTCCAGTGCTCCTCTCCTGCAGCACATATGACTGGATTGAATATGTGCAGAGGATTTATTGCTGAAAAACCACAAGAGCCCTACAAACACTTTGGCCCAAACCGCTTGTAGTGCAAGGCAAGCGCAAGAATTCATCTGCAACCTCCTTCTCTATTTACACCCACCATTTCTTTACATGTCCACGGCCCTTCATCACAATAGTACAGTTGACTAAGCAGTGTTATTAAAACATAACTTTTTTCCAAGTTACCAGACACTGGTCTTTCCAGACTTTTTTGGAGGTGGGGGTGATTGGGAAGCTTTTTCAACTCATAGCCTCTCTTCAGTTGATGATAACATCAATAATTCATGGCCCATACGTGTTACAGACACATTAAAAGTGTCTCCAGTACTATCATCATCATCATCATCAAAGCCGCAGTACTTTATTCATCTTGCGAATTGTGATTCATGCGGTTTGATTTTTATTTTGGTTCAAGGATGAATTTGTTTACGACACAGTCCTTTGGGAGAGACTATGATAAGAGCTTCTCTGTTCCTGCACATTTTAAAACCACATTTTATTCACTGTACTAAATTCATCACAGCATAACAATGATGCCTTTGGTGACGTGGGTACTTTTGAAGATGCTGAATGACTTATGTCTTATACCACAGAGTTGCTGTGAGATTGCTCTGGATTTATGATCACATATCTGTTTAAGGTGAGGGCACAGGGGCTACAATTTCCTAAAAGTCTGGAAAACCCATGTTTTGTTTGTTTTGTGAGTAGATGTGACAGTAGGTGCAGGGGGGGGGATACAGCCCATGACCACATACATAGATCAAGTGTCTGGCAGTGGGCCTCATGACTTCTCAGTTTTTTGAATGTACTCTTTTTAACGTCTATTCATTCTATTTAGTTTTATTCATAATATATTTATAATTTTCAATTTAAAGAAAAGCTTAAGTTAAGCCTTTTGACATTAACTTTTGTTTTGTTATCTTTTTCGGCAACATCTCAGCTAAAAGCTCAGCTCAAAAGCCGTCACCTTTCCCGGATCATGATATTGAACCATGACCTATGCACAGATAGACGTTCAGGCATATTCATTTTATTGTTTTTCAGATATCATTGTTAGGGATAACATTAATAAGAAGATGGAAGAGAGATCAACTGGCCCTTGACTTCCGTTTCTGCATTGCGTGACTAGTGTCGGCTCCAAACCGTAGTACTGGCTCAGCACTAACCTGGTCTGCTCTGTGACAGAAGGCTGACAGCCTGAAACTGGAGCAGACCTGGTCCTCCTGAGCCTGCCCACAATGGGAAGTCTTGAGAAATTGGGTCGGGGATAAAACGCCAACACAGGTTCATGTACTTCAAACCACCTCTGAAACTAGATTTGGAATAACCTCGTCAGTCATCGACGTGGTTCCAGCTATATAATTACTGAACTTTTCACCATTAAATCAATTAATGCGAGAGGGATGAATGATTGTTTCAGTGGAAACACAAATGTTAAAAATGGTAATTATGTAAGTAACACTCAGACAAGTTTGGTCTTCAACATTTAAGAAGAATATTCCAGAGCAAATATTCTCTGAAGATAGTCAATAGAAGATGAGGGAATAGCAATAAATGATACACATACACAATTTGATAAATATAAAAAAAGAAAGTATAATTCATAGCAGATCAGATAAAGGGGAATATCAGCACAATACACATACTAAGAATAACTAAGGAATTCTAAACCTAAAATTGGTGCCACTGGTTTGTGGACTTTTAAGTTATGGAAGACTCTAAGAATATGACTGTTACTTTGGTGAAGTCTATACCCACTGCTGGGGAGATAATGATACATATGTTACGGAACAGAGACTCACAACAAGGACGATATTAATAACCACAGAGCTTTATTGACCGCAGAAGTGAATGAGAACTGGATGGCGATGGTATCAGAGGAGGAGTAATGTAGATGAAAAGAGAATCGGCATACCGACAGTCGTTATCGTTGAAGATGGATGAACAGGTGGAAGATCGCTGGGACTCACACTGCGGACTGGTGAGAGGTGAGCAGCGGGATGACGACGGGAACCAGGAGGACGAAGGAGACGATGGAGACACGGGTAGGCAGATAACCCACTACACCGAATCGGATTAGGTAAGAGGTGCATCGAAGAGAGTCCTTACTCAAAAACGAGACCAGACAAAGTGACTGTGTGAGGATCGTGCTTTTGTGCTGATGGATTAATGACGTGCAGGTGCGGGTGACTAGAACTGTGGTGACAGCGATCTCTGTGATTGTGTGGTGGTGGAGCCCGGTTGGTCCCTGATAACAGCGTGTTTCATCCAAGCACCTCAAACCAGAAACACACTTTGTGAGGATGGCATCAACCGACTGCGTGAAGAGCCACAAACATGTCGGTTCTCTTCAAATATTAGCTGAAATTAAACAGCTTCAGTAGCAGAAAGTCTGTGCTCTTTTATCACGTACAGGAATAGAAGCAGAATTGTAACGTTGGGAAAAGCAAATTGCAACAGCTTAAATCTAGCGCAAGTATAAATGCCGGACCAGGAGGACCTGCACGGAGAAGCCCACATGACTGGTCTGGAAACCCAGTGCCTAAATGAGAAATGTAATACACATTTATCGAATGCCAAGAATGAGCTTATACAAACAAGTGTAGGCCTGGACAATGACAAATGCATGACTGTTTTAAAAGAGTGCGCACAGAGCTCTCATGTATGCATGCTTGTTTCTCATAAGGATTCATGCCACACCAGGACACACAGGCGGTAGAAGTCTGGTTTTCATCCTCAACCAAAGTCTGTGTCGTGACTGCCCCGTATCCCAGAAGTCCCTGAGCTTCTGGCGGGACCTTTGCATAGAAAGTAAAAAGTATCTGGATCCTTTCAGCGTCTCTTTAAAGAACTCAATTATACAGACCGGCTTAATTAGATCAGCTCTGATTGCTATGACGGTTTAACATGAAACTGTGTGTTTTTATATTCCAACCCATCTCTAGCTGTCGTGCTGCGATTGGGGTTGCTGTGTGCAATTCTGTCCAGCTCCGTGTCTGTCATGTCTGGAGCGGGTGTGCGGGTGAGCGAGTGGGCGTTGCGACGGTGATGAAGGGCCGACGTGGCAGGTGCTCTGCGGATGATCTGGGGTCAGACTCTGGATTGAGCTTGAAGAGCTTTTAAGGAAAGGCAGACGTTCAACATTATGCACCAGGAATCTGTCACGGTATGTAGTGATCAGCACCTTTACACACACACACACACACACACACACACACACACACACACACAGAGGATAGAGTTTAGTCATCCATAGCGCCACAATAGGTCTCCATTTGTATCACATGCATGTGATAATAGGAGGTCATGTGTTTTTGCCATGTTGGTATAAGAGTATATATACAATACAACGTCTGTGTTTACATGCGTGTTGACACTGTCCAATGTGTCTTGGTAAAATTGTATGTTAAGACAACAAGCACACGTTATTCAGTGATCTCATGGAAACATTTAAAAA